GTCAGCTGACAGCGTGCAAAGTACTGCCAAACGCCCAAAGCGAATGCACTGAAGAAACTCTAGGAAAAGGAGAACACTAGTTATTTGCTTAAACTGTGAGTCAGGCGGACATGCAACAATAGCTCTTTAAGATCAGGAAGCCAAAGGCTGGCTATTAAGAATCCATCCTGATATGGAAGTATATTTGACTGAGAAATGAATTCCCAAGGGGATTTCCTTCTTATGGACACTGAGAACCAGGCCAGACTAAACAACAGATAACCATATGTTTGGGGCCAAATGTGTGCTAGCGGAGAGTACAGGATTGGAGGGAGCAGTATGGCTTTCTTGACAAGAAACTGGAGTTGGGTGAGCTGATTTCAGTGGAGCTACAGGGATTTACAATCTCAAAATATCCCACTTGTGAATGCCTGTTGCAGAGATTGGGACCAGCTGAGGACCTAGTCCATGGAGCCCAACAGTTTGATTTACACCAGGTCCCATGAGCTAAATCCTAAGGCTCTTACTCAGTGTTGACCCCTGTCCTAGTCATCCCCTTACCCCAACATTTCCATCATGGATTCACCTTCAGGCTCACCTGGTTGGAGAGAAAGGTGTAGCCTGATCTTTCAGAGAAAGCCCTGTTGCTTCCAGTCTTGTCCAGTGGCCTGCCTGCAATGCCAAGATATTGCTTGGGGCATGTTGTGGACACCTGTGGAGGCAGAGTAATAGATTGGGAATTGCCAGGGCGGGTGTCAGGGGATCTGTCACCTGAGCCTGAAGCCTCAGCAGCCCCAGCACTGCTCAGAATAAAGGCAGGTGGCTCTGGAGAGCGGTGGCAGATGAGAGAACATGGAGCAACAGTCTCAAGTTGCAGCCAGGGAAGTTTAGGTTGGATATTAGGAAAAACCTCCTTGGTAGGAAGGTAGTAAAACACTGGAACAGGTTACCCAGAGAGGTGGTGGGACCTCCATCCTTGGAAGTTTTCAAAACCTGGGTAGACAAAGCCTTGGCTGAGACGAAGTAGTTGGGGCTGGTCCTGCTTTGAGCAGGGGTTGGACTAGATGTGACCTCCTGAGGTCCCTCCCAACCCTCATTTTCTCTCTGATTCTAAATGCGACCCTGCTGCTGTTATCTGTGTCTCTGCGTGACAGCCTTTGTGTAATGCTTACGTGTCTATCTGGGCCCTATACGCGGTCCGAGAGTTGGGAACAAGGTGTGTCTTGTTTTCACTGTATCAGGGCAAAAGTGTTTGAATGGAAGGGGCCAGGCGAGTGTCTGTGTGCACAGGCCCTCCCTTCCTGAACTGTCACATTTATACGTGTACTAATGTTGTAAGAGAAAATTGGGCAAAGGTCACTGAGGAGTCAGTAGTCTCCATGCCTGCTGAGCTGGAGGGACCTTCATATCAGAAGAGACAGAGGAGGCTTCAGAGAGACTCCACCCAGGAGGCTCCAGACCGAAGCTGCCCTAGGCCGACCCCTGCACTAACCTCAACTGCACAATTTTGAGGCTACACAGCTTATGGTGATGGGGAATTGCTCTCGGGATTTCCCTCTAACTTGCTCCTTTGGTCCTTTGGACAGGAGCAGGCGAGACTAGGAGGCATCTGAACTCCAAGGTCTCTGGCATGTAAGATGCCTGCTATGGATTTGGGAATATCTGAAGCCCCAGGCTGAAGAGTCGGGGAGAGAGGATACTTGCTGGTGGTAGCGCCGCACAGGCTTGAATGACTGAGCTCTGCTCGGCCGATAGAACTTGGAACCGATTCGGCTGATTTGGCCCAAGACACAAAAGTCCAACAAAGAAAAAATGGGGATGAAAGACTACAAACTCCTGTAGTGGTTGAGACTTGTTACTCACTTGTTTCTACAAAGCTGATATTCTTGGATTCACCTGTAAGTACAATTCCTTATGGGGGGTCAGATTGAAGCCCGTGCCCACTAAACCACCGGTTCTCAACCTTTTTTAACTCAGGGCGCCTCCTGGAAAGTGCCAGCTCTTACTTTTCACTCCTTTTTTTGTCTACAGAAAAATACTAGAGCAAATGCTTCTGTTGCAAAGAACTCCGAAAGCCCTCAGCAGGTCAGAAAGCTTATAACATTGGTTTTCAACCCTTTTTCAGACCATTTGCAGAGCCCTAAAAAAATTCCAACCGAAGTACAGACCCCTTTGAAAATTTTAAATGGGAGTGTGAACCCCTTTGAATTCAAAGTGTGGGTATTCACATACTTTTGATTGATCATAGTCATCTTTTGTGAACCCCTCAGACATAGTCTGTGGACTCCCACAGTGGCGGTGAGATGAGGTGAGGAGAAATGCTAGGGCTAGCAGCTGCACTAGCCCAGCTAGCCACCAACTTCACCCTGTGTGGAACTAGCAGAGTGCTCTGATCACCTGGACCGTGACAGTCTGTTAAGAAGTGATTGGGGTGGGCTACTGACTGTTAAGGTTTCCCCCAAGATCGTTTTCTTGTCCCATTTTCCCCCTGTAACAAACCCTGACTGCTGCTTGTGAGCAGGACAGGCTGTTTGCACCAGAACACCGGGCAGTGTTTATCTACCCAGGTTTCTAGGCAGAGGATCAGGCCAAGATAGAGAATTTGCGTAAAACCCCTAAATTTGAACCCGCCCTTGTTATTGCAGCCCTGTGCCTAGTGCAAGAGTTACTTATGTAAGGCAGAAGTTAAAATCTTGGGTGGAGAGAAAGGGGGAGGCCAGCCGCCAATTGCATGGGGACCCACCCAACAGACATCCTCTGTGAGTTGGAGCACAAGCTCTTAATCTGTCTTGGAGGCAGGCAAGCCTAGGAGAGGAGGGAGGGACAGAGTTTGTGCACAGTGGGGGGTTGATTAACAAAACTAATGCTCTAAAGAGCTTAAGTGGCTGGACAGAGACCAGCTTGATTAGGCAGCACTGGTGTAAGAGATTAAGCGCTCGTGTTACCCACTCCTCAAAGTGAAGCCAGTTTGCAAAGTAGGAAATGAGGGAGAACCAAGTTCCCTGCCCACACCTGTCCAAGGAGCCATGGGGCAGCAGAACGCATGAGAAACCCCCTCTGTGGTCCCTTGGTGCAACAGGCCACACACCTGGGCCTGCCTCCTCCCTCTTCCTGCACTCACTGCATTGCCGCCTGACCTGCACTGGCTCAGCTGCCTCCCTCCCTGCTTGCATCCCACTGCAGGCCTGCCAGAGCTAATGGGCGCATGCCTCCGGCTTCCTTCTGCATCACAGATTCTTCTGCCGCTCAGAACCCCACAGTCGAGGGGTCTTAAAATGGGACTAAGTGAAAAGTATTAAAATGGGACTAAGTGAAAAGTATTAAAATGGGACTAAGTGAAATGGACTGGCACCACAGGAAGAATGAAGAGGACAACAGGAAAGAAACAGCAGCTCTCACCTGGTGGAGAGGGGTCTGGCATAGACTTTTTCAGTAGACCCTTTGAGGAGGGCAGTGGGTAGGGGTACAGGTATGGAAATGGGTGTGTGGGTGCGCGGTTACACAGTGCGAACTGTGTAATAGGTTTTTAGCATGCTTTGAGATGCCAAGTGAACCACAGAGGCCACATGGCAGAGTGCTGGAGGTGGAGTTATATCTATATATATATCTATATAGTTATAAATAAAGTTATGTAAAGTTACAGAAATAAATATTTATGTCTGTGTGTACGTGTGCACACACACAGACGCACACAAATATTTATTTATTTATATCCATAGAAATAAATATTTTTGGAAAAAAACAAACAGATTCTTCTGCCAGAACAAGGGAGGCTGCATCTCCTGCAAGCCCTACTCCCGGGTGGTGCTCCAGGAAAAGGTCCCCCTTCCCCTTGGGCTGAGCAATAGCTCTCCAGGTGCCCAAGGCTGTCTCTGTCAGCCAAACCCCTGGCCTGCACCAAGTGTCTGCTTCCCTGTGACTGTTGCCCGTGCAACAGTCTGAGTGCAACTGCTAAGGATTAGCACTGGCTGGGGTTAGCTGGCAGGGGAGCTTTGGGCTGCTCCCCTCGCTCAGCGCCTCACAGGCAAGCAAGGGGAAGTGAGATCCTGTGCTCGGCGTCTGTGTGGAACGTGGGGCCCTTCAAATGCAGGGTGGGATCAATCCCAGGCTTTCTGGGAGCCTCCTCAGTAGCACAAGATTTGCTGAATCTCCAAACCAAAGGGGCACATGTGGGAAGCACAGAGCTCCTCGCTGCAGGTCAGCAGGGCCCACTGCTTCTGCCACCCCTGGACCAGCCCAGGGAACAGAGGACTGGTTGTCAGCAGCTCCCATCCCAGCTCAGCCCTTCTGCCCTGCAGAGATCAGCAGGTAGAGACCGGCGTGGTTCATGTCCCCAGCAGAGGAGAACTTTGGACCGGGCTGATGGGGCTGGAGGGCAGCCAGAGCCCTTGGCAGGGGAGAGGATGGGGGCACACAGAGTCCCTGGCGTGAAAGAAGGGGCTGGAGGATTTACTGGGAGGCTTGAATTGAAGGGGAAGAGGAAGGTGCCCAGGCAGCTTGGGGGTGGGTGGGAGTAAGATAAGGCTGCAAGGAGCCCCAGGGGACACAATGAGCTTGACCTCCTGAGATACCTGAGTGTGGGACCCCAAGTTATCCAGGAGGCTCTGCGTTCCTCAGGCACCGGCTGCCTGCTTTCTCCCCTCTGCTGTGGGTTACTGAGTCCCCTCTGTCAGGAGGAGCAGCAGGCTGGGTTTGCCCAGGAGGGTCAGGGCTGCCATCGTCCCCAAGCTGTCCTCTTCCCAACAGCTCAGTGTTTCCAGCCTGGGGATCCGAGCAGGAATCCCCTCCCCTGGGGCCATGGGTGCTCCCGGGCACCGGACAAGGGGAACAACCCACACCTGCGTCACAGGGCAGCCTGCTCTGCCCCACGCACATCTGCAGCCTCTTCTAGGCATTAATCTTTGCCATCTTCGGCTCAAGTAATTGGATTTCCTGGGTCACATGATGAGATAAAAAGTCCCCAATCCACAGTAAAGATATTGGGTTATCCAGGGGGAATTAATGTAGGAAGGCGAAAGAGAGGGTAAGGGGGAGGACAAGGCAAAGGGCTCCTGTGCTCATTTCTAAGCAGTCTGTGGCTAGTAGCCTTCCTCTGCGGACATCCAGAACCAGGCTGCCCTCAGCAGCCCTGTAGCAGTTTGGGCAGATACCCCCTTTTTCCCCCCTTCTTTCTGTTTCTCACTTCCCCTCCCACACCCCACCAAAGGGTGAGTGACCTTGTGTGGAGACCTGGAAGAGACGGAAGGACTGCGGGAGTTAGCCCAGCTAGAGGAGCCAGGGGAGGAAGACACCAGGATGGGGAGCGGAGCAAGTGCTGAAGATAAGGAGATGGCCAAGAGGTCCAAGGAGCTGGAGAAGAAGCTACAGGAAGATGCAGACAAGGAGGCGAAGACAGTCAAGCTGCTACTGCTAGGTAAGGTGGGAGCTTTCCTGGTGGGACAGTGGAGCCTGCCTTGGGGGAGGCCAGGAATGAGTGAGCAGGTGAGTGACTGCACCCACAGGAACTGCTCTCCCTGGATTTAATAACAAGTGACTGTGCAACCAGGGAAGAGCTGTGCAAGCGGGCCTCCGGGTCAGGGATGGGATGGGATGGGATGGGATGACGTGGCCTGCAGTTCTCGATTGGCCAAGCAGCGTATAGGAAAAGCACAACCCTTAAGCAAAGGGAGCCTTGGCCAGGGGAGATGGGATGCAAGAACAAAGCAGAGATGCTCATTGTAGGAAAAGTGGATGTTTGCTTTGTCAGAAGGGATTTATGAATGGAGGGGAGATGGGAAAAAGAAAAGAGGGGCTGAAAGGGAGAGCAGGGTGAGGCTGGAGTCCAACCCGGCTGCTTCGTTCCTCCTGGGCTCAGAGATGTGGCCAGCTTGCCTGTGGTTTGGCCAAGATGAAGCTCTTGTCCCGAATGGCATCAGATGGGCTCTCATTAGCCTGACGGTTTCTTAAGCGAGGTGCTTATCAGGGCTCTCAGATTTCTCAGCCTACAGCATGTAACAGGAGGTCATAAGCATCTTCTGGAGAGGAGGTGGGGGTGGGGAAATCAGCCCATTAGTGAGGATTAAAAGGGCTGGAGAAGGGGTGCCTGGCAGGTCTGGTAACAGCAGCCCATTCCTGCCGGGACTAAGACTGCTTTGCTGGATTTGTTCACCCTTCTTCCTTGAGGGCCCTTACATGACAAGGGCATCATTCTGGTCAAAAAAACAATTTATTTATTTTTTAGTTTTCTGTATTTCCAGCCCAACTGGCCAAATCCATTCCAAATCCATGAGTTAGTCCAGAACCATAAGTGGCCCTACTACCAGCAAACATCCTCCACCCCCATCTGGGGCTTCAGATGTTCCCAAAACCTTTGGCAGGCATCCTATTTGCAGGCCCAAGCCCAGAGGCTTGGGGTTCAGATGCCCCTGACTTTTGCTTGCCCTCAGCCATAAGGCCCCAGGAGCAAGCTAGGGTGGAGTCGCCCATTTCTATAAAGCAGGCATAAAGCCAAGATTAACTATGCATCACCAATGCCGGTACTATCCCATGCCAGCAGAGCCGTCTTCCCTGGGTGCAGCTAGGAAGCCACTGTGGTGATCACGGTATTTCTCCTGGGTAAGCATAGGCTACGCTTGATCTGAACCTTCAAGAGGCCGAGAAAGCAAATACATGGTGGTTGTGACATGTCATGTTAGGATGGAGCCCCCCAACTCTGGACAGGGAGCTGGGACAGCTGGGTACTAGCCCGAGCCTCTCAGGCTGACCTTGCACAGCTCTTGGATGCGCCTGAGCTAGCTCTTAGGTAACAGGAGCACAGCAGCGCTGTCTGCTCCACTCAGAGGAAAGGCTCTGCAGTGTTTTGGGTTGTCCCTGCAAGGCGACTGTTCTGGCGTGTTCCCAGGATCCATCCTGTCCTCATTAGCGGTCATGAGAGAGGCTTTGAGAGCACTGGAGTGGAGGAAGGCACAGCACACTGATGAGCATGTTTGTCTCCACCTTCTTGTGGCATTACGGGTAATCTAGCAACATGATTAAATGCTTCATTAACACAGGAAGGGCTGCGCTTTATCTCTGACCATATTGATTTTGTCTTCCTAGGTTAGCCTAATGCTCAATGGCAGAATAGGCTGTGTGCTGAGATCAGATGCCTTTGATAGGCTCTAGATCAAACACAAGTTCAGGCTTCATTCAGAAGTGGCTGAGTGGGGCTCTCTGCCCTGAGCTGTGCCGCTGGTCAGACAAGGTGGCCACAATGACTCCTCCTGGTTTTAAAATCAATGTCCCCCTCCTGGCAGGTCTTCCCCTTCTTCGAGCTGGCATGTTCTGTGCTACCTGAGCACTGTAGCCAACTCTTGTTCACTCCTGCTCCATAGCTTAGGGGGCTTCTGTATCTCCTTCACTGTTGCCTGCCTTCTCCCTTGTGCTATGAGAGGTTTCCAAGTCTCTGCTAGGCCAATGCTAGTCCCGAAGAAACAGAGATCTCCAAGAATGTGCCCCTGCTCCAACCACCAACGGGCTGGTTCAGTAGCATAACTAGAGGGAGGTGAGCAGGGCACCAGCCCCAGGTGCAGTTTTAGAGAGGGCTTCAGAAAGGTGGCTCCAGGGGACCTGGAGCAGTGATGGCAGCTGGTGTCTTTGGTGCCCGCTCTTTGGCCACTGTTCTAGTGGCATTTGACAGAGATGCGTTCAAGCCCTTTTGGCCTGGGCACTGCAAGGTGTGATGGGTGCATCTCTGCTTAGGGCGCTGAAATGATTAGTTATGCCTCGGGTTGGTCATGGGAGAAAGCTCACGTGAGCAGGAAATGGAGGCCATAGGTTTCTGCCAGCTGCCCACCCCTCCCAGGCCTGGGAGCAGCAAGCCACCCATGCTCTTCTCATCCCACAGCCAGTACAGAAAAGGGTGCCCCTGGCTCAGGCAGACAGACCCAAGTGCACTCAAGGCTTGGCCTTCAATTCAGGTTAGGCAATGGCTCTGCCATAGGGAGTGTGCGTCACTGCCTCACTCACCCAGCATCGCTCCTAAAAGGGATAAAGGCCTTCTCTGGCAGCTACAGATCATGGCGGCGCTGCCTGCCAGGCGCACTGTAGGGGCAGGCAGTGCACGACTGGCTAAGCAACACTGCAAAGTTTATCCAGCTGATGGCAGGGATGTGGAGCTCAGCACAATTAGGCCCTTAATTCTAAGCAGCTTCCTGCTTGGGAATAAGCAGCTTAAAGCAATGAGACGAGGCAATCTCCAGGGCTTGTCACAGAGAGCTGAAGGGCAGGAAAAGAGAGAACAGGAATCGGGAGAGGCTAAGAAATGCTAAGCCCTGCCACAAGCTAGTCACGTCCAAGGGGAGAGGACACACAGCCATGCTGAGAATCCCAGCTCCAGAGGGAGTTCAGCCCCTCCAGCTCTCGGGAATATGGTGCTCCGTGTCTCTGTCTCCCGCAGGCCTTCTACCATGCTGGGGTGCAGAGGGGATCCCCAAAGCACAGACAGGTCTTGCAGTGTAGCTTCCAGAGCCAGGCACTCATGTGTTAAGATGAAAGCAGTACAAACAGCAGAGTGGTCCTTAATCCCTGCAGTTCAGTGATCTCTTGATTATTCCTATTCCCTCATAAATGACTTAGCCTCTAGGTGGCATGGATGGTTTTGGAGGCAGGCAACTCCACGCTTCTTGGGGCAGTGATGTGGGCAGGCCCAATAGCAATCCCGAGGAATAAAGAGAAGGTAAGAGTGAAAGAAATAGGGCACGTCTACATGTTTGTTAGTGCACCATAATTACGGTGCATTTAGTTTTATACCTGTAATAACAGGTACTTAGTGCACTGTAATTAGCAGTCCTATGCAGTAGCGCTGGCACATGCTCTTTTTTCTGGTGACACTAACGCACAGTAGACTAATTATACTGCGGATTAGCACGGTTTTTTCCTGCCGCGCTAATACACAGAATTAGTCTACTGCACGTTTAGTGTCTCGTGTAGATGCACCCACTGAGGGTCAGGGCTGGCCTTTCCACTCAGCTCCAGCTCAGGCAGAACGGCATGCCTCCCCCTCAAGACACTGCTCAGGGATGCAGCATACCAGCTCCAGCACAAAGGGGGAGGAGATGAGCTCCTTCAGCAGAGCAGGCCTCTGGACCACTAGGTAAAACAGGAGAAATGGCTGGTCTTTCCATGGGTTTGAGCCTTTGATCTGGTTAGTGGCCTCCTGGGAGCCCAGTGACTAGATCTCAATTCACTCAATCCAGGAATAATATGCCACTAAACAGACCCACCGGGTTTCAGAGAAATCCAGCAGTGCTGCACTACCTGGGAGCCAATTCCAGAGGAAAACACTTCGGGGACAAGGAGAGCAGTGTAAGTCCTGAATGCTGGCTCTCAGACCATACCATCATAACAGTATTATTGTGGGGAAGGGCTGCGTTCTCCCTCTTTAGGACTGAAGTCTGTCACTGTTGGCACTAAAGAATTTCCTCCCATTTTTTCTAGGTGCTGGGGAGTCAGGCAAGAGCACAATTGTCAAGCAGATGAAGTAAGTGCAATCTCTGGCCTGGATCTCAGAACAAATACCAGGTCTATTTCCTTCCAGAGGTCTGATCTGGGCATAAGTACTGCCTATTTAACTTGCTAACGGCGGGTAGGCCAGGCTAGGTGCAGGACAGCACTGAGAAGAGCAGAATAAAAGGGACTAAAGATGTAAATAGATGTAACATCTGTAGCTTCATGATCTTGGATCAAAAGGAGAGCACTTCTCTTGCTTCCTGGGTCAGCAGCTGTGGGATGTCTCTTCATGCTGTAGGCTAAGAACAAACAAAGGATGTATGTGAGAGATCCCAGGCATCAGCTGTAGATGCCACTGAGGGCACGGACATTGGGTTAAATGGAGTGATGATCTAGTGTCTCAGCAACTTCCCTTGGCTAATGCACAGCACACCAGGCACTGGGAACTGTAGGTGTTTGCAGTGGCAGGCTGATCCTTAGCCAGGCACCAACCAGCAGGTGTCAAATCCTGAGGAGGATGGAGCAGGGAGAGCACTTCTCTGGCTTGTGGGTGATACCCACTGGATGGAGCAGCAAGTACTTTAGAGAAGAGGATCAGAACAAACAGTCTTGGCAAGCTGGAGAAGCAGCTGGAAACCAAGGCAAAATTCAGTACAGAGTGCACAGCACGCTGTGTTTAGACAGAAGAAATCCGATACACCAGTACCGAGCAAGGTGGAATTGGCTGGGCTGCAGTGCAGTTGTGAGGAGCCTGGGGGCTGTAGCGGCTGCAGACTGAGTAGGACCCAACCACAAGACTCTTGACTGAATAAGAGTCACAGCTGGTCAGTCTAGGAGCCAGAGAGTTAGCCTGGGCCATGCTTTCCCCCAGCGGAAGCTGCCACCGCTGGCTGCTTAAATGATGACCAGAGACAGAAGTTTCTTGTTGCATTTAGCCCTGGCTGGGAGGCACCAATTTGCCCATGTCACGGTGGATGCAGACATGGGCTTGGCCATGTGTTGGCACTAGGGGGTAAAAAGGCTCCTCACTCCCCTGTGGGGGTGATGCACATTGCTACACCAGCCTGCTAGGCTGAGCACTGTGCAGCTGCATGGGTCCATAGCTCTGCCCCCACCCCATTCCCTGTCCCCAGCCAGGGTGCCTGAACCAGCCCTGCTGGGGAGTCATTCATGCTAGCACGGTTTACTTTTCTCCCTCAAGGATGGGCAAGGCAGGGACCAAATCGAGCCTTGTTCAGGGACCAAACTCTGACAAGAGTCATCCAGGCCAGAGCAGAAGATGCCAATCTGTGCTGCAGAAAGAGAATTGCCAGGGACACCCAGGCTGTGTTTCTCAGAAGGGTCTCTTTGTGCATCCCCTACAGGATTATCCATCAGGACGGTTACTCACCAGAGGAGTGCATGGAGTTCAAGGCAGTCATCTACGGCAACATACTGCAGTCCATCCTGGCCATCATCCGGGCTATGACCACCCTGGGGATAGATTACAGTGAAAGTGGGCGAGCGGTCAGTACCCTGCCCTCACAGTCATGAGTGCTCTTGTCTACCCCAGCAGGGCAGGGGGAGAGGGAGGGTGTAGTGGTCCTCATGTACACACACAAATGCATTTCCACAGGCAGTAGGGTGGTCATCATAGAGGACAGTCTGCTTGTCTTCTGTCCTCTATTGATATGAAACTGGATGCCTTTATGTCTTCTATTTTTCTCTTGGAGAGAAAAATAGAGGACCATAAAGGCATCGGGTTTCGTATCGATAGAGCACAGAGCAGCAGAAAACCAGAATGTCCTCTATGATGGCCACCCTAACAGGCAGGCAGAAGCGATGAGCAATGCTGCAGGATCGACCTGCCACATTAGACGCTGCTCCTGCTTTGAACTTCTCCCCTCCGCCCCACTGCCTGGCTCCCCATCACTCCAACTAATTTGTATTCATGCTAGGAGCCAAGTGTTCCCAGCTGCTTCTTACAAAGGCAGATATATATTTTAATAGAGGTCACTGTCCCTTTATGGACAAGCGACAGGCTTCTGTTTCCCCTTCCAGGAATGGTGGCAGGATGAAGACCTGCAGGGGAAGGCAGCTCCTTTCCAGCACACAAAGACAGGAGCTATGAGGAAGGATACCCCAGACACAAAGGCTGGGCTCCTTTCAATGTCTGCAGCGGCCCCAGGGAACAAGGCATTAGGTTTCTGCTGCCTCCCACATCAAACTCCTATCAAGCGATGCCATCTACTGGTTAAGGGAAGCATTTCCAGGGGGACCTTTTGTTCTCCACTCCCAAGACATTGCCAGGATGGATGCAGGGAACACCTCCCTTGGCCTTTTGGGAAAGCTGATCCTTAAAAAAATAAAAATCCAACAAGGGGATGGGGGATTTAGTTCTCAAACAAGAACAAAGTCCTGTGTGGATGTGAGGACACACATGTGCCCAGGCTGAGCTCAGGCAGGCCCACACCAGACCATGCCAGTCTCCAACCCAGCCTTCTCACAGGCTGTGTCTTGCAGGATGATGGGCGCCTGCTATTCAACTTGGCGGACTCCATTGAGGAAGGGACCATGCCCCAGGAGCTGGTGGACTGTATAAAGAGGCTGTGGAAAGATGCGGGAGTGCAGGCCTGTGTCGACAGAGCCTCTGAGTACCAGCTCAATGATTCTGCTTCATAGTAAGTCAGTCCCTATAACCCTGTAATTAAGCAATGCAACTTCCAGATGGCAAGAGCCTTTGGGCAGGGGGATCTCTACAGGTTTGGTGCTTAATTACTTGAATCAGTCCAGTCATCAGCACCAAAATGACTGATGCCTCAATGAGGTAGACTCCACCACCAGACAGAGGAGTCTCAGCATTGCTCCAGCCAAGGGGGAAGCCAGGGTGAGGAGAAACCCTGCAGAAAGGACATTTCAGAGCTGGTTCCCTTTGAAGCCAGTGCAAGTTTTAATTTTAACACTGGCATGGCCTGTCAAAGGACTTGGGGCATCCAACTGGAAGGACCAGAATGGTTTGAAGCATTAGGATGCATGCCGACACACACACAGAGCTCTCATGGGCTGCTTCTGCAATGCCGATATTCCCCATCACTACCTTGGCTATATTAGTAGCCTGAAAGCATCACCACCTATCTGACCATTGCAAAGGCTGCTGAAGCAACACCCGGTTTCATTCCTACTGATTGGGCAATGGGGAGTTCACGCAGCTCAGAATAGGGACAGGAGACTGATACTACATGTGAAGGTAGTTTGGGGGCTGAGGAGCAGCTGTCTCATGTACTATGGTATAGTGTGCAAGTCCTACATGGTATTTTAGGTTCTCTACTGAATAGCCTCTGAGTTGTGTAACTCACATGGGGCCAAGTCTTGCTTCCACTCACACCACTGTAAACCTGCTGAAGACAGCCGAGTTACTTTACATGACACTGCAAAAGGCACCATCGGTTTAACAAACCGCATCCTGTTAGCCAGCTCTCTAGCAGGCCACAGCAGATGTAGTCCCTGCTCCAAAAAAACCACAGTGGAGGAGCAACTAGGAGTGCTGGCACTCCAGGCTCTCTAGGCAATGAAGCAAATTAAACTGCTCTATGCTATTCTGCTGGCAGCATCCACCAGCACATGGGGCTCTTCCCCACCTGCCCTTTTTGGAGACCGTAAGCTTTTTGGAGCAGGGACTGACCTTATGTTTTCTATCTACATAGCACAGAGCCCTGGCCATATAGCAATGCGCAGCAAGCCCACATGCATGCTTTGTCCCTGCTTAAGCCAGGAGATGATGAAGGGGACCTCCCTGCTCTCCTGCTATGCTAGAAGGACATGTCCTTTGCCACAGGCTGGCAGCAGTCGCGGTGTATGGGGATAACATTTCCAGTTGCTCTCATAAGATCGCTATCGGCCTGATAACACCTTCCCCATCCTCTTCCTGCATCCTGTGCCAATATTCTGCATCCTTTACAATTGCTAAAATGCTCCTGCTTTCTCCTTTAGCTACCTGAGCCAGATGGAAAGGATTACAGCTCCTGGCTACCTCCCCACCGAACAGGATGTGTTACGGTCCCGAGTGAAGACCACAGGCATCATAGAGACCAAGTTCTCGGTCAAAGATCTAAACTTCAGGTGAGGATAAGTGTAAAGCCCTCTCATTTTTCTCCTGATAAGCAGCTGCAGCTCTAGGGGCTCATTCACCCAGCTTCCTTAGCTCAGCCATTCAGCTCCGCGTGCAGGCCTTCCACTCAGTTTTCATTCTTCCGAGAGGCTTCACAGCCATAACGAACAAGCCAGCCCAAACCAGGGAAAACCAAATGAACCAAACCAACCAGAACCTGCTGTCTTTCTTCAGGCAAAGTGAGGAAAACCATTCTAGCTCCATGCTTCACCACAGCCTGTCTTTGTCTCCTGGACTTTTTAAACCCCCTTCAGACTCCTACCTCATTAGCGGCTATTGGTCCCAGCTGGCTCCCAGTCTCCCAGCCAGGCAGACTATTAGTTGCTGAGTACCTGCACCTGGCCTCTCAGCCTTTGAGGGCCAAACACCCCCTTACAACCACCATGTGCATTAGGTGCGCTAGGATAGAAGATGCCATGTAAAAGCAGTAGTACTATTCCCTCCACAGGATGTTTGATGTGGGAGGACAGAGGTCAGAGCGCAAAAAGTGGATCCACTGCTTTGAAGGTGTGACCTGCATCATCTTCTGTGCAGCTCTTAGCGCCTATGACATGGTGTTGGTGGAGGATGACGAAGTGGTAGGTTCGCTCTTAGTCGCTATCTGCCTACAGCCTAATGCCAGCAGTTCCTCTCCACCAGAGTGCGTCTCTGAGGCTGCTTCCCTTCCTGGATGCCTCTGAAAAATAGAACAAAGTCCTGTCACAGCTCAGCTCAGTCTGAACATGACTGGCTTAATGAGAACAGCAGCATCACCCCAAAAGAGGAAGCAGCGTGGAGAGGGCTGGGTGCCAAACCTTGTCCTGGGTAGCTGGATCCCTGAGGATGCAGGGAGGCACCAGCACAATGAAAAGGAAGTATAAGAAACTTGAATGCCAGCTTGTGGTTTATGCAAAGCTCACGGTTCATTGTTCTGTGCTGATGCAAGTCTGGGAAGCAATATAGCTCTCGTCTGACATCAGTCTGTAAATAAATACCTGCCTTCCACCCAGCAGAGCTGGCAGCTGAAACTAATTCATGTAGCAGGGTGACATCCAGTGGCTAGTCAAGGCTAATCTTACATGTGTAGCCCTTAAAGAGATTTCAAGGCTGCCTGCCTGCCTGCCCTCAAAGGTGACAGCAAAAAGAAACAGGACAAGGGAGATAGGATAAGAATTGAGCTGTCGTAACTCTCAGTTGCGAGGTTTAACCACAAGCCTATCTGTGGCCTCCTAGGAAGGTCAGACCAGATCACTGTTAATCTATGAACCTGTGTAGGAGCTAGAAGAAGGACCACAGCAGTCAGTTTACAGTACAACCAAGGACTACCACAATCCCTAGGGTGAAATCCTGTTCCCATGGACTTGCGTAGGGCGAGGACATGACCCAAGATCATGGCTGCTAGTTAAATGTCAGTCACACAGCAGAAAGGGGCTGAAGCTTACAAATAGCAATTAAAACACACATGTGGCTATGCACCTGCAGGTGATGAAGGGAACAGGTGAGTCATAAGGAAAGAAAGCACCTGGAATTAGCCAGGCAGGAAACAGCAGGTGAACACGTGCTCTTATTAGCTGCAAGAATCACTTGCAGTTTACAATTTTAAATGAAGAACTTATCACTATTTTGCAGATTGTATCTGAAGCTAATTGATGGGCAAAGTCATTGCAAATCCATCCACTGTGTATCCACGCTTTGCAGCAATGTGGGGGTGCACAGAGCAGGGACCAATCCAACTCCTTTCATTTACCTTGGATCCCAGCTGAAGCTGAAGACAACCTTATGCAATGCTCTCAATGGTAGAAGGCCCAGGGAAAGGCACATCAGCTCTATTACACTGTGAAGATGTAATAGGAGTTTCCCCATAAAAAGGACAGAGTCGGAGTCTTTCGTGAGCCAGCATGGAGCTTATAGTGTCTGGGGCATGGGACAGGGGAGAGGAGCATATTCTAGGTTTTTGGTTTATAAGATCATTGAAAGCAAAGGGTGCAAATCATAAATTAGAGCCATTACTCTGTCTTTCACCAGTGCCTCAATGGTCTAGTCATTGTGGACTGGTCACGGGTGCCCTGTAAAGTCTCATGCACTCACCTGCATCAGCTACTTGTCATTCCATCTGCTCTGGCATGGAGTAGGCTGGATAATCTAATTGGTTTTATCCATCCAACTACCAGAATCCCAGAGATTACATCCCAGTATTGTCAGCTAACTCTAGCCTTTGTGAAAGTGAAGTCAAACTAAGACTGACCTCTGTGACCGGGACTTGAGCGGAACACCTCCAGACCTCAGGTTGGGGAGGACCAGGTTAGAGAGCTTCTGGAGGGGCTGGATGTGTTCAGATCAGTGGGTCCAGATGCTCTCCACCCCAGGGTGTCGAGGGAGCTAGCAGGGGTTATTGCAGGGCCCTTGGCAAGGCTTTACAAGCACGCACGGTGCTCAGGCCAGGTGCCGGATGATTGGAAAATAGCCAACGTGGTCTCCATCTTTATAAAAGTGAAGAGGGAGGACCCAGGCAACTACAGGCCCGTCAGTCTTACCTCAATCCTAGGGAAACTCTTTGAGAAGATCATCATGGAGCACATCTGCGATGGGCCGGTCTCAGGGATAATGCTCAAGGGCAACCAGCACGGTTTCATTAGGGGCA